TTTTCGGGGAAAGGGGCCATTTTCCCCCCAAAAAAAAAAAAAACCCCCCAAAATCGCCTCCCCGGGGGGGCCTTTTACCCAGACGGGGGGGTTTTGCCCCACGGAGGGGGTTTTGGGTTTGAACCCCCCCCCAATTCCCCCGGGTTTTTCCCCCAAACCCCCCCCCCCCGAAGGGGTGGGGGGGGAGAGTTTTTTTTTTTTTTTCAAAAACCGGGGGGGGGGAAACCCGGGGGGGGGGGGGGGGGGGGGGGGGGGTACTCTCATGTAAACGCATGCCGCAGTCGGTAGACCATAGTAGGGGGGGGGTGGAGTGGGGGTAACGGATGAACAAGCTCACAATCGTAATTCTTGACACGTGCTGCTGCCTTTTTTTTTCGCCCCCTCTGGGAAAACGGGGTGACGGACGTACTGCTGTAGTGTCAATGCTCAGTCAAGGTAGCGCGGTCCACGCCCACACGCTGGATGACTTGACATCCATCCTCTAGGCATGCCGTATTGTATGGACACCGGGAGTCATACCGACGACCCCACCAGAGAGAAAAATTGACAGACTAAACACCACCACAACTTGCCACGAGAGACGAGCAGTGCCACCTATCGGGCATCGAGGGGCCCCGCGCATACATACGGCTCCCGGAGGCCCCGGTATTTCACGCGTCACACACCTCACAGCAGTACACATCCACAACTTGCGGGTGAGAGTGTAGAGGAGGAAACCGCCCAGCAAAAAAAAAGATTGTTGCTCAGTGAATTTCGAGAAAGAACGGCACTTACTTCTTCTGCAGGCTCGCCCCCCCCGCCCCGTGTGGTAGGTGTGTGTGTGTGTGTGTGTGTTTCGTGGACTAGCATCGGCCGCGCCAACCCACACCACCAATGAAAAAACGTCAGTCAGTCTCATCGCGAGGCAAAAAAAGCAAACACGTTTGTCAAGGCAAAGGGTTCTACTGACAGGGGGGGGGGGGGGGGGGAGGGTCGCCAGACAGAATGTTTGTGGAAAAAAAAACTCCCCTAACAGGGGCAAAAAAC